GGACACCTCCACCTCCACGAAAGGACAAACAATTCCTCTTCCGTTTTTGGGAAGGTGCCGGGCTCCCAGGACCTGGGCAGAGAGCAGGAAAGACTTGGTAAGAGACTGGAGCAAAGGAAAAAAAAAGGAAAAAAAAAAAAAGGGTTTGCATACCAAGACATTTTCTTTCCAAATAAATCACCCTGGCTCTGCTAATTGGAGAGAGAAGAGACCCTGACAGCCAGCCCAGCCCAGCCCAGCCTGCCTCTCGGAGAAAAACAGCTCCCACCCCTGGAAGCTGCTATGGTGTTACCGAGCACCAATTTGACTTGTAAGCCATAAAAAACGGCAGCTGAAGTGCCCCAGCTTCCTGTCCACTGCCTGGACCTGTGGTCCAGCCAGGCCTGGGACCACAGCATCCCTCCTGCCACGCTGGAGCTGGGCTGCCCAGCCGCGCTGCCTGCCCCTGCCCGAGGCTACGCTGGACACCCCTTTCTCTGCCCAAACTTCTCGGCCCTCCAACCTTGGCTTGAGGACAAAAAAGAAGCTGCTCTCTGCTGCTGCTTGCCTCCTGTTCGTAGCACAGTCTGTGCTCAACTCAAACGACAACCTGCTTCCTTGCAGGAGAAAGAAATCCCAGCTCCCTCTTGCCAGTGGCCATATGTCCCTCCAGCGTGCTGCCGGCACGCTGCTGTTGCAGGGGAAGGACGCGCTGCCAGCGCTGGATCATGTGCTTTGAGTCATGCTGGGCTCGAGACGGCTTCTCCATCCGTGAAAGCGGGCTTTGGTGGGGACATGGGGCAGTTTTGCCAGAGGACAAAAGGCTGAGCCCGTCTCTTAAAGGAGACGGTGACAGGCTGCGGCACAGTGATTCTTGACGCCTGGTGGCTGCAGCTGCATCCTGGGATGCAGGAAGAATTTGGAAAACAGATGGTGCAGGGGAACAGTGCCAGGGATTTTTAGGGAGACAGTGGGTATGGGGTTGACGGTGCAGATGGGACATGATGGGGCGTCTTCCCTGAGCAGGGCAGCAGAGGTCAGATCACTCTGAAAACAGAGGTGGCCTCAGAGGAGCTGCAGTTTGTGAATGTTGTGAGAAATGTGTGAGGACCTAAAGGCAGGATCTCTGCTGACCCCTCCCCAAGGTCTGCTAGAGATGAAGGGACTTGCAGAGGACACTGCTGACCCACAGATGGTCCGCTCAGCTCCGAGACCACTAGGGATGCCTGTACAGGCTAGTGGGACAGTCACAGGTCCAAACACAAGAGCCATCTGGTTTGGCACAGCCGTGGCCTTCCCATCCCTCCAGGACACGGGAAACATCCAGCCCCAGTCCCGCCATCCAGGAAGAAAAAGATTCAACAAGCATCTGCAGTCCATCCTCCAGTGCCCCCCACCAGCAGCCCCCCATCCTCTTATCATCACCAGCAGTGCAACACAGAAACGGGCTGAATAGTCCGCTCTGACCTTGAGCATCTTCCTGAGAGGGAAAGGGACACAGCAAGGTCAGAAATGTTGAGCCTGGACTCGGTGACAAGGAGGGGACAAGGTGCAGCTCTCGTGTCACCCCGCTGGGAGCCATCCTGTGCTTGGGCAGTCCCAGACAAGCTCCAGGGACAGGGATGCCACCTCTGCAGCTCATGGATGGCACCTGCCAGCACTGGGCCCTGGGCAGGAGGGTCCCGGGGTGGGGAGCATCCAGGAATGCTCCTGCTACTCCTCTCCAAGTGCCCAGGGAGGTCGGTGGTGCTTCCCTCAGCAGCACCCATGGGTCTCCCCCTTCAGCGAGGGCTCTCCAAGCCTGCACTGCAGGGCAGCTCTTAAGCAGGGGCTGAGGGGTTTGGTGAGGAGCAGCTGCAGAGGCCAGGAGCCCGGAAAAAAACATTCTATCATCACCCCAAACTCGGTATAACCCCCTGGATCTGACTCCACGCTGGGAGGAGGTACTGACCTCAATGGAGATGGAGAGTGGCTCCACTCCCCGCAGCGTGCTCTTGTCGAAGGGGTCAAAGATGTCATCCCTCATGTTGGTCGGCTGCAAGACGTACCCACACTGGCCGCTGGACATGAACAAGGCCTGGTTCATCTGCATGGGCTTGTCTGGAGAGCACAGGCAGGAGATGGAGGAGGGGACACCCTGTGCCCTTTCCACAAGCAGGATCACCTGGGCTATCGGTCCCTCGTGTGAAGCCCTTTGCAAGAGGACATGGCCCATCCCTTGGCAATGCCGGGTGTGCCACGGCCTCACTGCAGCCTGCGCACACGCTGGGGCCGTGGGGTGACTTTCTCACGCACGATCTGCCCAGCTACCCAGTGCTCCACGGGTCACCCCCTTCTTTTCCTCCCTCTCCTTTCCATTTTCCTTGCACTGGCTCTAGCATTTGCCAAACCACCCTGCAAGATGCTTGAATTCACAAAAGGAATGAAAAAAACAGCAGGAAAAAAAATAAGAAGCAGGTAGTTTTCTGGTGGGTTCACAGGCTCACGGCAGGGTTGGGCAAGGGCCAGGGAGAGGGGCAGGCTGGCCTGCATGGCAGGAGCAGGGCTGGCTGAGCAGAGCAGCCAGCTCGACTCAGACCCTGCAGCCAGCTGGTGTCCCAAGGCTGCGGCTGCACCGTCCCCTTCAGTACGTCCCCTTCAGTACCTCCCCTGCCCGCCCTGCCTACTGCCGGGGACGTCGGGGGAAGTCCCCTCTTCCTCTCTGCCTCATCTTGTCCTTGTGGCACCACAATCTCCTGGCTCAGCCCAGCTCCCCGGGTCAACCCAGCCCTCTGGAGCACATTTCCCCTGCAGCAACCACATGCCTGGGACACACACACTGGGTCCTGCTCCCTGGTGCACAGACTGCAGAGCCCCTCCTAGACCCCCCCCTTTGCCAGGACCAGGTCAGCAGGGCTGCAGGCAGGTGGGTGGGAGGAGGCACAGGGTACCCCAGGAGCCTGCCCACCTTCCCTGCCTCCTCACCTGGGGTCTGGAAGTTGAGGGCTACCAGCTGGCTGCCGCAGATCCACATGGGCAGGGGGTCGTAGTTGGAGGAGTCGAGGCGCTGACCCTTGGGGTAGATGCGGGAGAGCTGCAGGCGGTTGTACTGCAGGAACTTCTTGCCTTTGATCTTGTTGACGTATTTCTCCGCCTTGGTCTCGGGGAAGGAGGACATATCTCGGTAACAGGCCCTCTCTGTGCCGATCTCTGGGAGGAGACAGCACGGTGTAAGCCAGGAGCACGTTCCCTTTCCAGACACTTCAGCCACCCCAGACCCCTTCCTAACACCATCCTCTCCTCCCTTGGCTCAGCCACCCTCAGGGTGTACAGATCGATGGCTGAAAGCATCAAAACCGCTCTCGATTACCGGGCACGATGCTCCCCAACCCCACTCCCTCAGCAGCTGCTCTGGGTTCCAGCAACAGAGGGATGGGGAAGGGAACTTCCACCCCCTGGAGAAGGCCCTTTCCAGAGCTGGAAACCAGTCCAAAGTGGTTTGGACACCTGCCCTCTGCTGAGATCTAGCCCAAGCAGCACCTCAGGGCACACCGTTGGGCCTGTAACACCACGGTGACTGCCGGCAGTGGCCACCAGATCGGCAGATGCTCACTCTCTTCATCGAAGGGCACAGGTCGGCAATAGACCACCAGCTCCGAAAGCTCCAGGGCAATCTTCTTCCTCCTCTCCATCATCTTCCCTTCAGAGAGCTGCCACGAGAGAGAGGGAGAGGTGTCAGGGCCCGGTGGGAGCAGCAGCGTTGGATAACCCAGCTCACCAACTGCAGCCAACGGCAGCGCTGGCCTGGTGTTGCCGCTCCTGCCCATGCTGTGGGAACCACTAGTAGTTCTGCATGGGGGGACACCACAGAAGCACCCATGGAAAGGGCCCTACCTGCTGCCTGGAGCGGGACTGGCTCTGCTACCAGCACAGGGCAGCTGTGGCCATGTAGCTGAGCCTTGCCACCCTCCACAGATGGAGATCCCTCACCTCCCAAGGCTGCAACACCCTCCTGATGGACTGATCTTCCCAGACATCCAGCCTGAATCTCTCAAGCCACAATGCGTGGCCACCACCCCTTGCTGAATTGTCAAAAGATTGCTCTGGCTTTATTATCTTTGTAAATGCTGTGCCAGTCATCGCAGGATGCCATCTTACCACCCACCCCCCCCAGCCTCCACCCGCTCCTCGGGTCCTGGAAAATCCAGGACTTGGTAAGGAGAGGTCTCTCCTGCCAAGGGCTCTCCAGACTCACCCGTGCATCGGCCGTCTGGGCTGCCTCCCGGATCTTCTTCACCCAGTCCACCAAGTCCTCGTGCGTATCGGCTGGCACAAGCGTGACACTGAGGCCATGCTAATGGAGAAGACGAAGAGGCGGTTGTTCTTCCCCTCGGGGCGGATGGCTGTGTGGGGAGAGGGAGCAGAAGGTAAGGTCACAAGCAGATGCTGAGCCAAGTCCTTCACACCACAGAGAGAGAGGAAGGGAGAGGACAGATGCTGAGGGAATCTCATGGCTGCCCTGGGACTCTTCAGCTAAGAGGAGAAGCTCCTGTTTCTGGTCACTGGAGGCAACAGATGGAGCCGCGGAAGCGATAGGAGGGGAAGGCAACAGATGGAGCCGAGGAAGCGATAGGTGAGGAAGCCGAGTGTATCCTGAGGGGGCTGAGAAGCCTCGTGGGGTCTTTGTAATGCCCTCTTCCCCCCATTCCTGCATCTTCTCTCTGTGCCCTGAAGTGCCCAGGTGGGAACAGCCACGTGGAGCACAACGTGCTCTGGGGAGCTGAGGGATGGCAGAGAGCTGCAGATCAGACCCAGCTCGGCCAGCGTCCAGGAGCCCCAGAACCTCGACCACACGTCTGTGAGGGAGGACAAATCCTTACAGAAAAGGCAGCGCCCACAAAGTCGGTCTGAGCTCCCTTGCCCGTGGGGCGGCTGCCCCTGAGCGCAGGTTCAAGGTGTGCTGGAGCGGCTCCTCGGCACGACCCTGGGTACTCCTCGGCTGCACTCGGGCGGCAGGGACATGCCTGAGCCCCAAACCCCGGGGCACCCTCTGAGTCGGGAGCAGCAGCGGAGCATGTCACCCCACAGAAACACACACCACAGACGGGCATTCGCTCGTGGCAGGCACAGGGGTGTCTAGAGACAGATGGAGAACCTGCTGTAACACCCCCCACTCCTCCATCCCTCCCTGGCACTCACCGATCTGGCAGGAGGGCACGTCCAGAACACCTCCGAGCAGGTCTCCCAGGGGGCTGTTCTCATCCAGCTGCTGCGGGGAATGAAGCACAGGCAGGATGGCGTTGGGCACGGCCCTGGGCAGAGCGGCCGGGCGCGGGGGGCTGCACACATGCACTGCTCCCCACCACCCCTCCTTGCTCTGTTCAGGCACAAGCTCACCTCCCGCTCTGGCTCCAGGCTGCTCGGACCAGTAATTTCCTCTACGTAGTTGGAAGGGAACCACAGCTGCTTCTTGCCACCATAATCTCCTCTCCACCTGGAAGAGGGAAGGGGCAGCGTCAGCACCCACCACGGGATCCCAGAGCATCCTGACTAGGGGTCACGGGCAACAGGCAGCTCCTCCATCATCTGCTTTTTAGGGTTCAGGAGGCTTTGGGGCTGTGCAGCTTGTGGGCAATCCCCCAACGGACCCAACCCTAGAGGGGACACACCTTTGTATGGATGGTGACATCATGGTTTGACTGTGTCCCCAAGGGAAAAAGGAGGTTTGGGACCTACTCACCAGCCTCCTTCCTGTTTCTCCACGTTCTGAATGATGGCATTTTTGGTGAAGGTGAGCTCATCCTCCCGCTGTGCCTTGTAGTCGAACAGGGCTTTGACTGCACACTGCAATGAGGAGGGGTCCCGTGAGGCCGAGCAGCGGATGGTCACACGGACAACAAGCCCACGGGATGAGAAGTCACCTCCTGCTGCAGATAGCCCATGGGATGAGAATTCACCTCCCGCTGCAGATGTGTTTGCTGGGGGGGTCTGTGAGGCACGTCATGTGCAGGCAGCATCCAACCCTGCTGCCCTTGCAGAACAAATCAAGGCCCCAGTTTATGCCAAACCAGAGGTCAGAAGTCTGGTATGACCCCACACAGGCACATTCCTTTGGGCCAGAGCCACTGATGGGTTTAGTTTGGAGAGTTCAGAACGAGAGGCAGCCCAGCCTGGGAACCTGCAGGCTCAGCCTAGAGTGTGTCTTTCTGCATGGTCTAGAAATGAGCGTGCAAAATAACAAAGCTCTTGGAAAATAGAGACACTTACTAAACCCTCAGGCCCTGCAGGTTGTTTCATGCCAAGCAGTGAGAGTGTACCTTGAAGGTGGGCATGGGGTTGGCTTCCACGTAGAACCCGGGGTGGCGTCCCTCGTAAAGGGCTCCGTAGTCTGGCTCCTGTTGAAGCAAAGGACCAGAGGTGACAACTGTGGCTCCGCAGGAGAACAGATCCCCTACCTTGGGGAGGTAGGGAGAACGCCCCAGGGAAGGCACAAGACCAAAGATGATGCTGCATACGGCAAACAGATGCCCAAGCCCACACTCCCTGCTGGCCTGGGTCAGAGGGGCAGCAATAAATCTCACTCAAGCCAAAAAGTGTTTCCAACGGGGCATGAAGCCCCAAGAGGTGTGGACTGTGAAGCACAGAGATGGCTCACACACCACCACTTCAAGGCACTAGCTCAAAATGGACCTGTCCATCATCCTTTGGCTTAGCTCTTCCAATGGCTGTTCACACTCACCGCTGTCCCTATCTTCTCCAGGGTCTCCTCGTTGATGGGGTACCTCAGCTTCATCTTGCGGTACAGCGGGTGCTTTTCATAGTAGCTGATCAAGTCGACCAGGCTCTCGAACTCGGAGTTGCCGAGCAGCACGGTCTGGCCCTCCTGCTGCACTCGGCAGTGTTTGATCTTCCCTTCCGCCCTGGCAGGTGGACAGACAGAGAGAAGCCACTTGGCACCTGGCACGAGGGTCTCTGCCAACATAAAGACACCCAAGCAAAAGGTGCCCCCCAGGCTGGCTGCTGAGCACAGCCATTGCCCATCAGGAGATGGGAAGAGGAGCGGGGTCCGAAAGGCTCTCAAGAGGCTGTAAGGTTTATCCAGGGCCATCCAGTAGGGAGAAGAGCACTGGGAGGGCTCACGTCAGGCTTACAGCCCCTCTCCTGCTCTGCAGCATCCTAGCCCACTACCCTCATCCCAGGGACGCACCGGAAGGAGATGGCGTAGGAGCTGGGCTCATTCCTCTTGCGCACCAGGAAGGCTCCGTCGCGTGGCACCCTCATCAGCATGTGCTCGGCTTGGGCCCGGGTGAGGTTGGCGTGGTACCACCTTTCAGGAAAGACACGTCACTATGCACGGGTCTCTGCACATCCAGCTCATGCCACACCTCTGCCACGCCACGTGGTTTCCCATCCAGCCCACAAAAGGCTGCCTGAATCCTCGAAGGAGGACAGGGAGCAGAGATCATCATATACATAACACTGCAACAGGGCTGTCTTCTCCCTTCTGTGGGACAGGCAGGAACAGAGCCATTTGGTGACACGTGGGATGGACGAGGGCATCCCAACCAAGCCCAGTACCTCCTTTCTTTGCACTGAGCTTTCAAGACAACCAGCTCCATCAACAATGAAGCTGGCCAGCATGGCTGCTGTGACACAGAGAGCCCGATGGGGAGCAAGTGGGGACCAGAGAGCCGTAGCAGGGAAGGAATGACTGCAGAGAGACCTGGGAGGGTTTCCCGTGGGGTCCAGCTGCCCAGTGGACACGACCCACCCTCCCCAAACACGCACTCACTCTTTGCTCTCATGGGCATTGGTCTGCGGCACCGGCTCCGTCAGCCTCATCTCAAACTCGTTGCACCTCAGCGGCACCTCTTGGTAGTGGGTGATGAGGTCGTAGAGGCTGTCGAACACCAGGTTGTCCGTCAGGAAGAACTTGGGGCTGCCGGCATCCTGCCGCGAGTGGATCCGGCAGTGCTGCACCTTCCCGTTGCGCCTGTGGAAGAGGGAGGGGGTAAAACCAGGGTCATCTGTGAGATTTTGTATCTGCCTCAGGCACAGCTCCAGCCTAGATGTGGCACTCCTGCCCCACAGGAGACCCATCGTGCAGGGGTCCCAAGGGACTTGACCCTTCTGCTCTGGGACAGAGACTTGACATAATGCTGGGGCACAGGAAAAGGGGAGAAACCTGCTCACGGACCACTGCGGAATGGGACCCCACCACTGAAGATGAGGACTGCCCCAGGAGTGACACTGAGCAGTGGGTTGGCGCCTGTGGCCCTCACCAGAAGGAGAGGGTGTAGTCTCCAACGAAGGTCTCACTCTCCCTGACGAGGAAGGAGCCGTCGGGGGCCCCTGTCTCGATGCAGTACTCCGTCAGCAGCCGCTCCGCGATGTGCCGCCCGTCGCGTCCCGCTCCCAGCTTGCCGTGAAACCACTTCTCCGTGGAGTGAAGCTCGGTGCTGTTGCTCACCTGGCAGGGGGAAAACCCACCGTCTTGGGTTACCGAGTGCAGGCGCGTGGCGCCCGAGTCTGCTTTGCTCGGGGGTCTTCCAACCAGGACCAGGGAGTTTCTGAAGCAGCTCCCACCCTTCCCACCACAGGATCTCCCCCTGAAGTCAGCTGGCAGTGGAGATGCTCAGCCCCTTGGGCAGTCAAGTCCTTTCTCTAGGAACTCACCGTCAGGCAAGGGAGCCCTCACCTCCTTTTGCTCTTCCTCATCCTCATTTCCTTGGTCACTGGTTGTCTCCCCAGAGTAATAGATCTTGCTGCTGGTCAGGACAAAGTAATGCGGGTTCCACTCCTGCAAGGAAAAAAACTCTGAGCAAAGAGACCCACCTAAGGAAGCACCAAACTGGCGTGCCACCCCTCCGTGGGATCTTCCCTTCTTGATCAGCACAAACAGGGGTGATCGGGTTTGCGAAGGATAGTCACCAGCAACACTGATTTCAGCGGAGTCACAGGAGCTTCCAGGACAGCTCCCAGATCTGAAGCATGGGTTTACGAGCAGCAAAAAACCGTCACGCGATAGGTCTTACATACAAAGTGACTGCAGATCACACCGCAAACACCCCAGCACGTATTAAAAGGAGATGACCAAATGAAGAGCAAATCAATGCAAAGAAGAAAATACTCTGCATGGATTCAGCACGGGAGCTATCAGACATGAGGATATAAGAGATGGTTATGCGGCTTTACTACTGCACTTTCCTATTTTCCAAAAACCTGTTTCGTTTGCATGTGACTTTGCCTTACAGATCCTCAGCAAAGCAAAGCAGCTGAAGTGGACTGCGTGTAAGTAAATGCACACAGTGAAATGAACGCTTGGCGCTTTACAAAGCAGAAGCTCGTTTAGGTGTGTTAAGTGTGTAGGCACTTGGTAGGAGGCAGGCAGGTCTAGAAATGCGGGCCATCACTAGAACTTACTGCAGCAGCAGCTAACAGGCTATATGGATTACACAAGAGCAGCTGCAGTGCATCAGCCCAGAGCTCCCTCTAGCTCAGCCTTCTGCTTCTAACAAGGGCCAGCAGGAGATGCCCAGGGAAGAGTACAGGGCTGAGCCAGCATAAGCCCCCAGCCTTCAGAGACTCCTGAGAAATGGGGCAGACCAATGGTCTTTTAGATCATTTTCACTACAGCCCTTCCTTCCAGCACCACACAGTGCCTTACGGAGCTACCACATCATTTATGGAGCCTGCAGAGTGGGGCCAGGGTGACACCAACAGAGAGAGACGTACGTGATTGATGGGGTCTTCCAGGTAGAGGATCCCGTTCTTGATGGAGTTGCTGATGTCATTCTCTGAATACATTACGGATGTGGGTAACTCTTCGTAAGCACTGCCCTCTGCCAGCTTCTTGTGCTGTGGGATGAGAGCGTGGGTCAGGCACCTTGAGGGGAGCAGGCACCCAAAAAGCAGCATGGATTTCCTGGTAAAGAGGAAACTAAAACACCAGGTCTGCTGCAGTGGGTTCCTCCAGACTAAAAGGACCAAGGTAAGACCCATGCCACAGAGATCATCAAGTGGCACTAAAGTCCCACCCTTTCTTCCCAGAGGTGACTCCTGCAGCAGAAATACCAACGTCCCCCAAGCTCTCAAGAAAGGCAGCACCCAGCTGCTGAGCTCATTTCCCAGCAGCTCCTCTGAAGCAAGAGAGTTCTGTCTCCAACATCAGATCTCCACTTCCAACCAACCCCTTCCAGAGATAAGCAGCTGCCCTTGGTCCCACACCCTCACCCCATCTGCCCCCATTCTCTCCACTTTGGAGCCTTGCTGGGGAAGGGAGTTCACCTTGATGAGAATCTTCCTCTTGAGCTGGTTTGGAGAGGGAAGGCCGTCAGCAGAAATATCTACTGGTTTCGTCAAGAGCATGTCCCCAAAGACCTTCTTGAAATTCTGAGCCATGTTCCTCTGCTGAGCAATGCTGCAGTGGTCCTCAATGGACAGAATGACAGGGAAACTGGAAGAAGGGACAGAGCCCTCAGAACCAGCATGGTGTCTGGATGGAACCAACACCTGAGCTCCGTTTCAAAACCTGGCCTCTGTGCCCTCATAGAGCAGTTTGCATCAACAGCGAGCTGTGCTGTCTTGAGCATTCAACATAACCACCCTATAGCAAGGTGTCCCCACCGCTGCTGGCAGTGCTTGGAGTGGTGAAGGGCTGGTAAACTACTGGTGGTTACCCAAAGTCTTCCCTCCCACAACTTTTTTCTGGGAGAAATCTCCCTTTGGTTGGGAGACACAACGACACACTTTCTTCCCACCAAATCCCAGGCACGTGGTCTTGTGCTGGATTTCTGGATAAAGGTGGGCTTCACTTTGCTACAGCCTCAGCTCTACCCACTCTTTGCCTTCCTGGCAGCTCTGCTAGCTGAAGCCCAGGTCCCTGCTGTACTCACTCGGAGGTGACAAAGGCATGCTCCTTGATAGTGACCAAGACATCAGAGAACTTGATCTTGGTGGTTAAGGTGTGTCCATGGTAGATGACCGGCATGCCATCGGGACCATCCCAGCAATCCACTGAAAGAGACCCAAGGGGCAAACTTAGCCCAAAGGCTGGAATACAGGCAAGACCCAGATTTGAGATGGACTGAACTAAGTGCTGCTGGGAACCACGTTGGATGATAATAAAGGAGCATCCAGATCTTTCTGGGGGACCAAAAGCTCGGGCACGTACCACCCAGTCCCACAAATCTAATGATCTTTCTGCACATCATGGTGACAGCACTGCCACGTCAACCTTCAGCCCTACCTTCCACGCAAAGCCATCCCTGACCACCGCAAGCTGTCACGACAACGGAGACAGAAGTGCCAGCTCCGGGTACTCACGTTCGATACAGCGGCATCCCATGCGCAAGCAGCGGGCGTACGCCTCCAGCGAGGACTCACTCGAGAACTGATCCCCTGTCAGGTACCTTTCACGTGAGAGAAGACATCAGCAAAGCAACACGCTCACCATGGGCGCAGACATCTGCTGGGACATTGCAGACCTGCCTCTTCAGGTAAGGAACGCTGAGAGCGACGTTCCTCCAGACCTGCCATCTTCCCCAGGGGAGGGGTTCAACCCTGCCCCTGCTACAAGGGGCTGCAAGCGCTAGTCTGAGGTCCAGCCTCTTGAGACAAGCCTCACAGATTCATCTCAGCGTTGGTGCCACAAAAAGCCCCCTGTAGCAGGCAGAAGCAGCCCGAGAGCAGGGTTAGACCAGCTCTTGCAGGCAGACAGGAGCTCGCTGCCTGCCCTCCAGGCTGCTCAGCTGGCTTAGGCTCTCAGTCCTTTAAATCTGCCACTGCATCCCACGAACAGGGAGCACAGACAGAGCCTGTCTGCAAAGAATGAAGCTCCTGCAAGATTCTTCTAGCAGCACAGAAGGAAAATGGCCAATTTCAGCCTGTCAGGTTTTTATCACATCTGTCCTGTGTGCAAGGTGACGTTGCTAACGGTAAGAAATGGCCAGAGTGACAGCCTGGGACCTGACAGCACAGTCTGTGCAGATGTGCACTGCTGACAACACCAGAGCGAAACACTGGTGGTTAAATGATGGAGGGAGGACTGGGGCACCAAGAGGATGGTCTCTGATGTACTGACCCCAGGTTGGAAAAGTCTAATTGACCCATCAATGGGATCAGGCAGAATCAGGAGAATCCCACCCTGGCACAGGGAAGGGGATGCCAGGAGCGGCCGGATGGACAGAGCCATCCCCTAGTCCTTACGTGTTGTGTGAGGAGGAGATCCAGTAATGGGAGAGGGGGTTGTTCATGTTCTCCAGACACACCATGTCCAGTTGCGAGTTCCAGATGCTGTTCTCTTTGGAAAACAGGAAGGTGAGAAACTGCTCAGGGAGAAACAGAAGCGTGTTAATGATGCGGAGGAGGCTGGCGCTGCGGTTCAGCTCTGTGTCAGCAGCTACCGAGCTATTTTCTAAGCTCAGCACAGACTGACCAGAGGCAACCAAGACAGCACCCAGCATGCTCGAGTAACCACAGCTTCAGGCATTGCCACCTATTGCCACCTATCCTCTGAGCCGTGCCAGATATCTGTGTACAAATATCCCAGCTGGAGCCAAACAATGAGCTCTGCATTTTATTTTGCAGCTCACGTGGCAGGCAACACCTAAGGCCATGTGGATCAAGGGACCTTTGCATGGGTCCAGACTGACATGGTCATCTCCAGTTATTTTTCTTCTTTTGTTTTCAGCTCTTCTCACTTTGAAAAGATCCTTACATGTCCCAAAGGGGCATTAAGCCAAATGCAGCCCCTTTCCTCCCCCAGATGAACTGCCTGACGAGCACTCCCAGCTGCACACATTCAGCACGAGAGCCCAGAAGTCATTCTCTTCACCAAACAGCTCTTGTGCAACATGGTGACCCACCACGTTCATCTCATACAGCAATGCAGCTTACAGGAGCTGTGATCCTTTAAGCACTGCCACCCCGCAGTGAAGACACAGTCAGCAGAGCTGTCACACCGCAGCACGCATCACACTGGGGATGTCACACCCTGCTACACCCCGCTCCACACACGCTAGGGTCTAAGGTGTCTTACTTCGTCCAGAGAGAAATAAGGCTCATCGATCTCCCTCAAAGGGTCTCTCAGAAAATTGAACATGAATTCCTGTACCTGGAGGGTATCTGCAGCCCAGAGCTCCTGCAAATCCCGAGAGAGACATAAAAAAGAAACCATTACACAAAGCGTTATTCAAAACCACGTGTAGCTTGTCCAACTAGAAGCTTTAACGATTAAGGAGGCAGTTTTTAATGCAAGACCATCTCTGCCAGGAATTCAAGTGTCAGCACAAATGCCGAATAGCACGCAACTGCAGAAATCTGCCCTGTTCCTAAGTGGTCTTCATTTTCTCAATGCCATGCATTTTTCTCTCCGACAGCTCCTTTGCACACATCTGCCATCCCACCTCCCTCAGCGGCAGCAGAAGCCAACTCGGCTTCTTTTTGCTTCTGTTTCTCCCTGGGTGTCTTTCATTAGGCCAACAAAATGGCTGTGTCTTTTCCCCGGTTAACTTCCCACTCATGCAGAGCACGGGCAGGGAGGCGGCGGTGGGAGACGGGGAGGACGGTACAAAGCAGGAGGCCCCAGGCTCTCGTGCGAGGCACAGCAGTGCTTTTGTGAGCCACCCCTGCCCTCTTGGAGGAGGAGGCCAACAATGAGATGGGAGCCTGGCAAGAGTCGAAATAAAGGGTCTGTCCCGTCCACGAACGCGCTGCTTGTGTCTGAGCGTGCTTGCTGTGCTTGCTGAATGCCTAGGACTGCTTTTAAATAGCAAGATCAGCAATCGAATCGATCAGCTGCTCCTCAGAGGCTGCTGAGACCTCCCGAGCAGACAGGATGGACCAGGGCACATCAGCTGCTGCAAACCTTCGGTACCAGCCAGGACTGGGTCAACCTCCACCGACCGGTTCCTCCCTCCTGGGACCTCCACCCCTCTCGGATCTTCTGCTCTTGGTCCCTTTTCTGACCAGGGTGCCTGGCTGAGGCCAGGTTTACCCTCACCAGCACTCCCCTCCATCACCTCCTGCTCCAGGAAAGGTGCGCTCAGGTTGTAGCTGTGCCAGGCAGAGCGCCTCAGGGCCAAATCATCCCAGCTTCATGGCAAGGCTACCCTTGGAGTCCCGGATCCCTACCGATACCAGTGCCTACCCCCTCGTCCCTCCCCTGGGCCCATGTCAAGCTCACCCTCTGGTACTCCAGCAAGAACTTTTGCAACTCCAGCAGTGACACCCTGAAGTGCTCAGACCTTTCTCCACCCCTGAAAGCAGAGAGAGAGAAGCTTCGGTCACTCATACAGCACATCACAACCGTTACCAGCATCATGCGAGATGCCATCCACAACCCCCATGGTGCACTCAAACAAGATGTGCCCCGAGCAAGCAGCACTGCAAGAGCAGGGTGGGATGAGCACAGAGAGGCGAAAAGGGCACGACAGCAAACACACAGCAGCTGAGGTTACATGGCCACATCTCAGAGCCAGGGACTGCTCCAGGACCAGACCAGGACTCACACTGCCAAGGCTACAACAATGTGAAACTTCAGTGAAGGGCAGCAAAAATCATCAGAGGGACTGATTTGTAAAAAAAAAATAGAAGGGCTGGCTTGTACGAGAGTGAAAAGAACTAAATAGGTGAAGGGCAGTCAAAGGGTGATTGTAGACAGGACAGAGCTACAGGTATCCAGAGGACATGGACTCAAGGACGCAGGACAAGGAATGGAGGAAGGAATCATCTGTGGCTGATTATCTCAAAAGACTTGTCCGTGAACGTACCGAGCTGCAATGGACAGCTGGGGCCATGCTGGGGACTAACACCAAAAAACCAGAAAGGAATCGGGCAGTGCTGGCTGCCCTGGGCGTGGGGATGAACCAGATGGTCTGCTGAGGTCCCTGCACACTCTCCTTTTCTATGGTTACAAGAAAAAAGAGAGGAAACCATGGGGAATTACCTGGACAAGTTAATAAGTCCTTCACTCTTTAGCTTCTGTGTCTAAGTTCAAGCTCTTTTTACCATGGCGGAGCTGCGCCCAGGGCAGGGAAGGGCACCAGAGGCACTGCCTGGAGAGGAGCCGGAGGGCAGCGCACTGTGCAGCCTGCACGGTCCCTGGCACTGGGGCCAACCAGCACCAACCACGAGGATAACCTTCAGGAGAGGGCTCAAGGTCGATTATTTCACATAGACCAACTGACCGGGTTTGGAGGTGGCTGACCTGGGCTGGATCTCAGTGGGGTGTCTGGGAGGAAGAGAGCCCTTACTGACCCCGGCTGAAGTGTCTGCAGCAAAGATGCTTATTCAAAGTGCAAAAAATGCACGCAGCACGGTGGCAAGCAAGAGGTGTGCAGCATGCCTCATCCCCGACACGCTGCTGCAGACACCAAAGCACATTACAGAGCAAAAGGAAACAACCCCTTCCCCAGCAAATACAGAGAATTATCCACCTTTCTAGGAACGGGACATCCATCTGCAAAAGAAGAAGCACAAGCGTTAGGTTTGCACTCAACCTCACCAATATATGTGAAAGCACAAATCCATCGAGAAGGTAACAGGGATAGCAAACCAGCACCGTGCAGCTCGGCCACTGCTCACACACCGCCTCCACCGTCCCCAGCAGCCCGAGCAGCACCGTGCTAACCAACCCAGAGCAATAACTTCTTTGCTGCCCATCATCCCTGGCCCAGAGGTAGGAGACAAGAGCTGTCAGCGGAGGGCAGCAGGGTTAAAAAGGCAATTAAGTGGGAATGCCCAGTAACAAATATGGTCTCTCCCTCCCCTTCCCGGCCCTGGAGGATTCAGGATTTACCATTTTCTGGGCGCTGAACATCAGGCTGCGGTAGAGCTGTGCAAACTGCCCGTATGTGATATCCCCGTTCCTCTGCTCCACGTCCTGTAGCAACAAAAAAAACCCCAGAAGTGTTACAGGGGCCACAGGCAACTCTGAACGGCCCGAGGAGTGTGTCCTCCCACCGGGATTCCTGGGGGAAAAAGAGGAGGGAAAGGCCAAAACCTGGCCAGACTTTGCCTCCTACCTTTGCCCATCTCTGCTGGGGCCAGCGGGACCCCGTAGCGCCCAGGACACAGGCACATCCTGACCCGAGTTACGCGATTCCCCAGGCTCACCCACACAAAGGCATCGCAGTGCTGATAAAAGCGTTACTGCTTACTTGAATAGTTACAAAAGGATCATTTCAATTTTTGGTTTGCAGAGAGCATCTGAAGTGCCTGGAAACTGCAAGACCTGAAGCGTACGCTCTCCTTTGGCCTTGGAGTTTAGTGCCGGTGGAAATGGCTGGTCACCACGGGATGACCCGTCATTCCTGGGTCCGCAGCGGTGCTGGCGGAGCCGGCCGCCTGTCACTCGGTGGCAGTGGGCTGCAGGACCCGGGAAGCAGGACCAGCCGGCCTCGCTGCCGGTCCTA